TTTTCTTGACATACTCTATGTCAAAGTCATATCCAAGCAGGATTGTAGCCCATCTCATGAGTGGTTGGCTGAGTACAGTGGAACTCCCTTCTTACCGAAGATGGCTAACAGTGGTTGATGGTCCGTCAGTAGCAGAAACTTTCGCCCGATTATGTACTTGTAAAATTTCTTGACAGCAAAGACAATTCTCAATGCTTCGTTTATGATCTGCGAATAGTTCATCTCCGCTTTCGTAAGAGAGCGATGCATGTGCAGTTGACTTTTCGCATCCATCGACATATCTGTGCGATATCACGCATCCGATCCCATAGTCGCTTGCATCCGCTGCCACGACAATCTTTTGCCTTGGATCATAGTGAGCAAGGTTCAGCTCACTTGACAAACTCTTCTTGAGCATTTCGAATGCTTCTTGGTGTATTCGAGTCCATTCCCACTTCAAATCCTTCTTCAGCATCGCATCCAGTCCACGAAGATTCTTGATCTTTGGCATAAACGCCGCATAGTACGTTATCATGCCAAGGAAAGCTCTCAGCTGGCTCGCATTTTTCGGTTCGTCCATGTTCTTGATTGCTTCGATCTTCTTGAGTTCGGTCTTCTGCCGTTTCGATCTACTATAAAGCCAAGATATCTTATCTCTGGCTTAGCGAAAGAACACTTTTTTAGACGAATCCTGAATCCATATTCGGCTATCCTTGCAAAAACAGCAAGTAGATTCTCCATGTGTTCTTCTTCGGTTCTTCCACAAACCAAGATGTCGTATAGGTAGGTTGCTGCCCCTCGCAATCCGCTCACCATTTTGGTATTGTGTTTTGATTAGCTAAAACTGCAGACAGACTTAACGCGAAAATGCACACCTATTTACCGCCGACGATTTGCACGAAGTCGGATCTTTTACTCTTGGTTTTTTCATGATGCTGTAATCTGCATCAGAGCTAATCATCATCATAGTCCTTTCGTGTTCGCCAATTTTCTTTTTTGCCACGAATGTTGAAGACTCACATCCTCTAGTTCAAATCAAATGTGTACGTATTCTCCTCTGTCTTTATTGTGGTATTATCCAGTTCCTGTCTTTTTTTGAACTTTCCATAGGTCCCGTTTGATTCTTTTTTTATTACCGAGGCTAGTTCATAAGAATTTTCTGAAGCTTCATTGCAGAAAATTCACTATCAGTGCTCATTCCTTGCAAAAAGGTGCGCTCTGTGTTGTAACCTGCAAATCGCATGCAGCTGCCACCTTCAGATGGTACTTGCTGTCGCCACGCTCTAACATTCCCTCAACTAGTCTTTACACTCCACATTTAAATTTATTTTATTTTATTTATTTTATTTTATTATATGCCTCAAGGTGCGCCATTAAAAAGAAAGAACGCAGAAACACAAACACAAATCCTAGCCAGTAACACAAATTGGGTAGAACTCGCTGCCTGCTGACCAGACTTCTACAGTTGATAAGAATGGTGTCCAAAGGAGGCCAAGGCAAAAGGAATCACATAAGACAGTAGTATAGTAGCACCGTTTCGTCACTTATGCCCAGGAGCGCTAGGGATTTATCAACAACAATATTACTCAGTGTAGCCTGTTAGATACTCTACCAGCTTGAGAGAATCCTAATTTTTTACGAGTAGCTTTGACCTTAGGCATTCAAGAATGTTGTAGTTAGCCGTAGTGCCCAAAATAACGGAGCATGATGTGTTACCATGGTGGATTACCAACAACATAGATTCATCGCTTTCGAGTGGTCCGCATTGGAGGTAGTACCTAGGCGATATGGCTAGACCACGCGTACCTAGGCCTTCATTATACTACCTACCGCCTCCACTTTCCTCCGTGCTTGAGCAACATGGGCAAACATGAATGCGGGATCAAAGCTTAAAATAGCACAGACTTGTTGGATGTAAGATTTCGATTGGCTAGGTAGTTCACTTGAAAAACTTCGCAGTGCAAAAACGTGCACTGATTAGTTGAGAAAAAGGAACTAAATAAATATCAGTTTTCGTGAGAGGAGCATGGTCAGCTGGTGTAAATAATAAAAAAAAATTTAATAGTGTGACCAGCCAGCTCATCAATCCAGCACATAAAAATCTGAGTCACATTAAAAAATTGTTTGAGAATCAAGAACATCTTTGATAGATGCCAGATAATCAGCTGTATCAAACAATAAGTCATCACTCATCCGACGTAAGCCATGAGACGAAGTAAGCCATAAAATCCATAAAACTGCAATGTAGTTGAACAATATAGAAAACACCTGAATTGATCATTTTTGAGAATCAACACAAATATGAATGAGAATCGCCTTCTATTTTTGTCAGGTCAAAATTTTGCAACGTAATGTAATTTTTTTAAAAGTCGAACTATTTTCGGCAGATAGCAATTTCGAAGGTAATCGTCTAAACCAGCGCCCACAACGATAGAACAGAAAGTTAAAAAGTCCCAGATAACAGCATTTGTCAAGTCTGGGGTAATGGAGATTGAAGCCTCCCATTCTATTATTACTGGTCTAAACACCCAGAAGTCACTAGCCGGGAGGTCAATTTCTTTACGCAATACGCCAAAGCAAAATGCTAAATCAGCAATAATTCGTCGCTGTTTTAGAGTTTTTAGCTTAGTAAACTTGAGTCGTTTATCGTAATCAGGAGTGGATGTTAATTTTTTAGAACGTAACATTCGAGAAAAGACCATTCGAGTGAAAGTGTGCTGAACTTTTTCAAGCTTGATGATTTCCTTTTTTCGACATGGATTCCATACTTGAGGGCAATACTCAAGATGTGGAAGCACGCAAGCTTTATATAGTCGTATAAGCACAACAGGATCACTTGAATGGATACATCGAAAGATTGCGAATAGAGTAGAGTAAGCTTTCTTGACGACGTAATCAATATGTGAAGTAAAATCCAACCGGTAATCGACAAAAACTCCCAAGTCTCTAACTAAGGAAATCGAAAGCAAAACAGATCCATTTACTACGTATTCACATGAGGTGATTTTGCCCAGATGTAAATAGGAACACCTGTCAGAATTTAGAGAAAAACCATTAATTACTGCCCATCTATTCAGTTTGTCTAAGGCAGACTGCAGAGTATTGTGCACTTTATGGATATCATTTTCATTGTAGGAAGCGTATAATTTGATGTCATCTGCATAGATTTGTACATTGATTCCATTTGCATTGAGTAGGTCAGGTAATTCTATAGTGAATATAAGAAACAGTAGGGGGGAAAACACACCACCTTGGGGAACCCCACTAGTGCACTTATACTCACCAGAAAACGATTGACCCACTCTAACAGTCATAACCCTGTCTTGGAGGTATGACCTGAATCACACAGAAGGTTTCCAGAAATTCCAAATCTTTGCAACTTTGATACTAGAATATCATGCGGAATTCTATCAAAGGCTTTGGAAAGTCAACATAGATAACATCGATTGACTTTCCAGAATTAATAGCCCTTTTCCAATCGAAAATACTCTTGACAAGGTTTGTAGTAGTAGATCTGTTCGAGACAAAGCCATGTAGTTGAGGTGGAATTCTATAATGCTTTTTGATCCAGAAAATTAGCTTATTCCTTATTATCTTCTCCATCACTTTTATTGGGGTTGGAGTAAAGCTTATGGGACGAAAATCAGACACTTTAGTTCCACTGCCAATTTTTGGAATAGGCGTAACCATGGCTTTTTTCCAGAGACAAGGTACCTCATAAAAGTACATGGAGAGATTAAATATATCAGCAAGAGGCTGAGAAAGAACGTCAGCGCATTTTTTGTAGATAATCGGTGGGATGCCGTCGTACGGTTCCGTGCAAGAGAACTTGAGAGATTTCAAAATGATCCGGACGTCAGACTCATAAAAGTGTACAATACTATGTTGGGCGTCAGATAGAATAGGTAACGGACTAACAGAAGAGCATTTGGTAAATACACTTGCAAAATATTTCCCCCCAACGCTTCTGCTCTCTCGCTACCACTGACACCGTGCTTTCCAGATTCTTCCAAAAGAATGGAAGAGCTTCGATTTTTTGCATTCTGTTAAGTGCGTAATCAAAGAAGCTCTCAACATTAACTTTAGAAGGCAGTCGCCTTTCATAATTTGCCAGAAATTTTTTGAGATGAAAATCTAAATCTGAACAAACTTTTTTATACAACGGACTTGACAAAGGTTTCTGTAAGGTTTGAAATAGATTTCGCTTCTGGTCTAGTAGCGCCTTGATTTGGCTTGGGTAACGGAAACCCATAGAATTCTTGGGAGATCTCAAGCAACCAAATCTGCTCAGCCCTTCATAGACCCTAGCACAGAATCTGTGATAAACTTCGTCTACGGACTGATGATTCTCAAAAACAAAGTTCCAGTTTTTTTTTCTTTTACATCATAAAAGAAACTGTTTAGGCCACCATAGTCAAATTTCGAAAAATCGGGAGTGGGATAGAATATCTTCGAAAAGCAACTGCCTTCAACATGAAATTCAATGATGTTGTGGTCTGAAGTAGCGAGAGGAGGAAGTATTTTGACAATTCGTATATCAGTTGAGGAAAAAATTAGGTCAAGAATATGGCTACCATGGGTGGGTTCACGAACATATTGTGTGTAGCCATAAGTGGTGAAAAATTCCTTCAGGCGTTTAGAATTTTGATCCAAGGAAATGAGGTGATTCCAATCAATGTGGCGGTTAAAATCGCCTAAAATAATAATGTCCTTGGTCTTTGAAGATGTTAGATCTAGAACAACTTTTATGAGCTGTTCATCATCAGATCTCGTACTATTGGGTGGGCGGTATACAGTGATGAACTCAACAAAGCTGGGGCCAAGCAGGCATAGTAATTCGACTGAAATTAGATCGATATTGGAAACGGTATGCTGATGCACATTTCGGACGGATATGTCGCCTTTGGATGCAGCAAACTCGCAAATGCTCGGTAAACTTCAGGAAGAGTTCGGCTTCGAGATCACCGAAAAAAAATCGAAATCATTTTGATCATATACGATCGAGGGTGGTCTCGAAGGGTATGGCCTTCAAGAGAGGCATTACAGCAGAGAAGAGGTATGTATGTGCAGTTGGATACAAGAACAGGAGGTCGATACAACAACATGTGAAACATCCTCAGGTATCGCATGGCAATGGGCAGCGGGAATTCTTGGAAAGAAGAAGAAAATTTCTCCAAAAACAACGACAGTTGCCCTTTCAATACTGATGCGGAAGAAACGCTGTGGAGGTACTACAACAAGACACCTATGATGGAGCCATTTAAGGAAGGGAAAAGTATGGTGGGGAAGGTATGTTCTACATCATATACTATCTTGAGAATTGTGTTGGTTATTACAGCGAAAATCTGGCACGGATCATCATGAGGTCCATGAAGCTGAACCAGAACCGATCATGGTAGGAAGCACCAATTTGTTTAGTTTTACTGTCACTCTTGTATTTAGGACGACTTTGAGAGCGACAGTGACCACTTCGATGTGTCAAGTAAGCGGAAACGCATCACAGAATCTGTACTGCTAGAAGAGAAGTACAAACTGCGTCAGGCCAGTCAACTCCTTTCGTATGTGCGCCCCTAATTCACCTCTTTAGGATCAGCGCCGCTTCTTCAATTAATGCACTTACTGAACGTGCTGACCGAAAGCATTGTTTCGCAAAGACAATTTCGTGGTGAATCTGGCCTAACAAATTGCATTCAAAGGCTTGCGACCGCTGAAGGAGACGCCATTTTAGACGCCAATATCGAAGAATCTGATGCCACGAGTCAGTAACGGAAAGGGACACCTCATTTTGTTTATTGTTTCTGACTTCTAACTTATTTTTGCTTCAACTGCATCGAATGTTGTGTCAATAAGGTACGTTCACAAATTTTCGCTTGTTTCCAATCGCCAAGGTTTGTTTGTAGGTTGGGCTACAGTACATTTTGGAATGGATGGTGTATTCTGCAACAAGGCGGTCGTTTGTGATTCAAGTTTTCCTCCCCAGAAGAAGAAAAGAAGTTTCTGTACCTCGACAATCAGTAAGTATTGAAATTGCCTCGTCAATATCTATCTCTGATAATCTTATTTTGGTTAATCTTAGCAGAAGTTTTTTACGCTGTTATCAATGTCTTTGATTTTCAGTATGCGCATCGTACCTCATAATCAAGATACGGTTAGATTTTTTCTAGCTTTGATAGCTACAGGGCCAGGGAAGACCGCTTCAACAACATTGTACAGGTAATGATGTCACTGCTCGGTCGCTTTTTTTTTCAATAGTGTTCGATTTTTAGAGCTGTTGGCTACAAAAAGCAAAAGATGTTCAAGGACGAGTCTTTTGCCCCTTCAAAAAGGGACCTGAGCGATGGTCAGACATCAAATAAGTTGCAGATTTACGTACTTCAGACGAAATGCGCTTAATGCCATTGTTTCACAGTCTTTTACTCATTCAGTGTTCTCTTTTTCGAAAGGTCGCAGATTTATATTTTTTGAATCATTATTATCTCAAAAGTTTAGCTTGAAGATGGTGCTGTCTTGATGTTGATGCTAACGTGTGCGGCGTTGTCGCACTTTTAAAACTTGGGGATCGGACATATGTTACCGGCAACTGTTATCAGGGTCGCAGAGGTTACCGGCGTTTGCTGGTCGTTGTAGGATCGCATAGTGGTTTCCGCGTTTTATGCACTCCCTAAGGTAACCCAAGCAACCCCGGCAACCCTGACAACAGTTGCCGGCAACATATGGCCGATTTCTTATGAAAACACTGCTGTCCAAGTGTACAGCTCAATCTGCATTTCCAGAAATCACTATGATAGTCGAGATGGTTTTAAATACGAGATTTGTTCAGTCGTCGTTTAGCAGAAAATAATATCAATTGTCCGTTATTCTACGCCGACGCAGCTGCTAAAGATTTTGTGGTAAGTTTGTAGTACAGTGATGTGCTCTGACTCTGTTGATCATTTCGGTTGCGCTGTATGACGAGCGTATCAATGTAAAATGCAGGCATGAAGATGTTCAGTCGAAATGACAATAAGTCGAAGCAACTCGATTTCGTCTTTCCCAGGAAGGTATGCCACCTTCTTCCTTAATGGAAGCAGATAGTAGATACTTGGGACTTCTCGTTGAGATAATTTATCTCATGCGCTTGCAAAAATTTTTGGTCTTATTTTGGCGTGATTGAAATTGCCACATTACACGTAACTCTTCTATTCAGGTCAAAATTGATGATGGCACAGTCACAGTCACACAATTACAGTAGACACCACAGTCGTCGCCAAAGACTCTATCCTGGTTTTGCTGAAATTCGATAATGTCGAAGGAAAGCAGGTAGGTTGGACACATATTTTTTTTACAGTGGTTTATCTTCTAGAAATTCATTCCAAATTGTGGCATAGTTTTGTTCACATAGTTGGTGAAACTATCGAGAGTTATTGCGGTGGTCTTTATTACAGTCCTCCAATGTCGGAGGGTTTTTATATATGTGGCGTGAAGCGCGTTTGTTCCTTTAGAGGAATGGTTGAAACGTGATCTTTAAAACTGCACAGTCTCGCAAGAAGATTTTCCGAAACTTGACCAAATTGTCAAGTGTGCTGTCAAAGTGGGAATTTTCCTATATTTAAGTCATTCTTTGTTTAGAAATTATCGTCTTGTAGGACAAACAGCCATTCGAGAGATTGGGAGTTTCAAAGGGAGATCTCATGAAGATGTTTGAATACAATGAATTCAAAGTAAGCTTTGCTTCATCTGGAGAATTTTTTGTTCAACAAAGAAATAGTTCAGTCGCGTAACATCAAAGAGAAGAGATGTCCCAACAACTGTCTATCGTTGTGGACCACTTATTAATCTCTGTAGAGGGCCCCATATGCAACATGTTGGAAAAATCAAGGTACTCGCCATTGATCGGCATACACTTCATGATCCACGATAATTTGAGCATTTTATTGGAAGCTTCGTCTCACACAATTGCTAAAACCACCACATTTTGGACAAACGGCAGAAACATATGGCGTGCGTTGAGTGAGACAGTGTCTACGATTTTAAGATAGCATTTTTTAGGGCTATGAACAGAAACTATCGACTCAGACAGCGGATAGGACCCCTCCGCCGGAGAAATGGCAGGGTCGCGGCGTTTCCCCAGCGGTGGGTCTCCCATTTGTCCGGCGGAGCCCTCCCATTTCTCCGACGGAGACCTCCCATTTCTGCTCCGGATACCTCCCATTTACTGCTCCGGATACCTCCCATTTTCTGCTCCGGATACCTCCCATTTTCTGCTCCGGATACCTCCCATTTTCTGCTCCGGAGCCCCCCGATTTTGTGCGCCGGAGCCCCCCGATTTTGTGCTCCGCAAGTCTGCCGCGGCATACTGTAATTACCCCTAATTAAAGGTAGCTTCCAGGCAGATCTGGACCTATGGGGCTTTTACATGGAAAGTCTTTTGGGGCCCTAACTAAGGCACTGCCGAAGCAGCAGTTCAGGTAGTACTCTAATGGCGGAGATATTCCCCTCGAAACAGACCCCCCGCGAACGTATTCGCATGGATTCATGGCAGTTTCGCGCGAGGATCCACGCTTTGCGCCATGAATCCATGCGAAACACGGTCGCGGGGTCCAGTTTCGAGCAGAATATCTCAGGCGTTAGAGCACTACTTGAGCTGCCAGTTGGGTAGTGGCTTAGTTAGGGCCCCAAAAGTACTTTCCATGTAAAATCCCCATAGGTCCAGACTTGCCTGGACGCTGTCTTTAAGCTCCAAACCCCAATTTTGTCTCTAAACCCCACCCAAATAAGCCGAGTAGGACCCCCCCCCCCCCCCGGGTAGGAGTTTAGCGCGACCCTCACCCCGTACTCTACCCCCTCCCTCTCACCCCTAGCGTTTGTGGATAGAAGATAGAAGAAAGAGAAGAGATAAGACATTTATTTCAAATTTTTCAAACTTTCGAAAAATCATCTTATATCGTTAATCATTTCACACCCACTGGTTTAAAAAAATGAACCTTTCCAACAAGACAACGGTTTGTGGAACAGTTTAAATTGCAGTCGCAGTTGGCCCATATTATTTATTTGCTTGCATATATGAAGAACGAATTTTCTCCACTGATGTCATCGGGAACAGCGCCAAGATTGAATTTGTTATTTTGATGAGCCAGTGCTAGAGATGCTCGTCGTAAATTGCGCTCCTCATCTGCTCCCTATAAAACAAAAGAATAACGTAAACTCTGAGACATAAGAAAATGATTGGAATCTGTTAACGGATACTAATCGAAACTTGTCAAACAGTTACTTGAAACAAACTTTAGCTTCTCCGACGGTATACGATAGTATGGGCAAAACAAAATTCCACATTTGGGTTGTTCAATTTCTCACTTTAGGATGAACAATAGCTACCCTACCCTTAAGGATCCCTAAGTAAAGAAAATATACTTGCTAAAGTAAAAAGTCTCGAAAAGACCCGACACCTTTCCCAAGATACGTTCGCGTGCTTCACGTGCCGATCCTAAAATACTTCGATTTATAGGCAAAGATCGAGTATCGAATAAACTAGTTCAATGAATCAGGGCAAAAACGGTCGAGAGATGTGACAAACTTTCCAAAACGTAACTTACCGCAACGATTGTGAAATCGAACCGCACATAGATAATTACAACGGTAAAGAGTGCAAAGAAAAATGCCGTGGCGAGCAATGGTTCGCGGATCATTTGCGAGAACTCAATCGTAAAATAGCTGAAAATGTATGACATAATTTCCAAATTCTAGCAAAAAAGAACATCGATTTATTCAGATCGAAGAGCAACTCACAGTGAAAGACTGGATATGCTCTGGAACAAGGTTTTCTTTCTGCAACACTATAACTGTTCTGCCAGTTGTGTCCAAGTATGTAGCGCGGACTTCATCGGGTCTTCTATCCATGCTGTATGGTGTGATAAGCCTCGCTTTTCTAAAATCAAACATGAATTTTAAAAAGCAGAGATGCGTTACACATCGGAAAAGGTTAGGTGCAATGTGTAACAAAGGGTGGCTTGTTTGTCGAGCACCCCAATTATATGTTGGTTCCTTCTCAACAATTTAAACTATATGACCCTTTTTCTCAAGACTGACAGTGGTGATCAAGAGCTTACCTTATCATTTCTGGCAGGATGATCTTCGTCGTAAGCTTTTCAACCACAGCATTGTCAAAAATATGGTCGAGAACTCTCATTTTTAGCGCATAATTATTGCCCTTATTGTAAAGATATTCGAAAGAAGGCACATTATAACCGATAACGTAGGAAGTGCGCCATCCTCCAAAAAGCGGGAATCTGAACGATAAAAAGGAATAAAATATTAACAGAGGCAATAAGTACGTGACATGTAACTCGGTTTCAGTTCGACATCAACAGAATCAGCGCGAAGTCGCACAGCTGATGTTGATATGTTTCCAATCTCATCTCTATAGTATATATCCTTGGCCGACGCTGGTAAAATCGTCTGAATGGGTAAAGTGGAGCCTATTGAAAAAAGTGCTTCTTTGTAGCGATTCTATACAAGCTAATAATGAATAATAGCTAATATATGCGTCTATGAGTCGCCTATAAGATTCAAACAAAGATTACATACACTTTTCTCGCTAGCAAGGAACCACCACTGAGGCACGAGCCACGCATACTTTACCTTTCTGTTTCTTATCTGGCGTTGCATGAGACTGGTTCATGCTGATCCCTAAGCTCCGGAACAGTGCCAACACAGTGCCCGAACTGTGCGCTGTGCTGGAACTGTTCCGGAACATACGGATCAGTATGAATCCAGTCTAAGAGAATGAAACAAGCGAGATCTGGCAACACCAAATGGCAAATCATCAGTGCTTTTGGAACACTGTATTTTCTTCTAAATCGGATGAAGTCAAACTTTGTGGAATATGCCTGCTCTGTATAGCAGAACATTGCAAAAATGGAAAGTGTGAAGATCCCACCTGAGATGATAGATCGATAGTCCTCTCGACATTAGCCACTTTCCAATCAGCAGCAAACGCCACTCCCACAATGAGGATCAGTGGCATTGAAGGCTCGCGTAACTGGGGGTTCATTTTTATCTAAAACGGACCTCATTTGTATAACCAAAGCTGTAGAAGTGAAAGCTTACTCCTTTCCACGCTGATAAATGCAGATGCGTTGGCTTTCAGACCTCCATCGTCTTCCACAACGGCATAAACACGTAATGACCCTCTATCAGCCCCGATGCTGTTGCTTTGGCTTTGTCGGCATTCACCAACAAAGCATTTGCAGGACCTCTAAAACAAAAAAGAAGTAGAATTCGGTTTTGGATTGAATAGAAGCCTTAGGCCCCGGTCAGACTTCACGCAACTTAATCGTCGCGACCAAATCGCCAAGATTTCCATTCATTTTCATTTCACATTCAAAAATTTCGGTCTGGAAAAGTATCACAACCGA